ACAGGGAGAGAAGGCAGCCAATACAGCCAATTCAAGAGCAGATCACCACTGTGGGCATCTGGGGCTCAATTCCACTAGGGATCCTTAGGAGACTACCTAGTCGTGCCTCAAGAATTGTCCTACCTGAGAGAGAAGAGCTGGTGTTTTCTCAAACCAGCGTCCCCCAGCTTTGGAGTCTTTATTATCTGAGAGCCATACCTCTCTCTCTCCCTCCATCCCTCCTTCCTTCCTCCCAGCCCTCCCTCCTTTCTCCTCCCTCTCCTTCCGGAAGCGAGGGGGGAGGACCGCAGCCATAGCTGACTGGACCAGAAATAAATAATTAGACCAATCAGATTCATTTCTCTGGGATTCTGGAATGGGGGCAGTTGATTTGGGCTTTCACTTGAATTGTGGACACCTAGCCATGGTAGCCTACTTTGGCTCACGCCCTCAGAGAAGCAGAGAAGTCTGGTGTTGAGAGAGAGACAGTGCACAGAGAGACAGGAAGAGGTGGGACCGCACAGCTTCAGGCAAACTGCAAGAACCACCTGAACGCAGGAGATTTTAGTTTTCGATTCTATTAGTAAGTTTTTGCCAGGCTGGGTGACGTTTCCTGCACTTGTATTCTGTGAGATTAACAGTGTTTTCTCAAAAAATGCCCATTTCCGCTGAAGAAAGTCACTTGAACTGGATATTGAACAGGATTTAGTGCTTCTTCAGCTGCTGTGGACACAATCAAATAATTTTTCTTCTTGGAGCTGTTAGTTAGTTGAATTATTTCAGTATATCCCTAAACACTGAACTATTCTTGCATCCGTTAAAAAGCCAACTTGGTCAAAATAAAAGAAAGTCACTAATTTTCTGACCTGTAACCAGAAACACACACACACACACACACACACACAACCTTGTGTACGAGAAACTCACCCAAGCCCCCTAGTCCTCCATCATGACCTGGCTTCCTACTTCACAAACAGAGAGCACCAAACTTGACATTTCACTTTGAACATCTTTGAATGGCTCAAATGTTTCCATCTTAACTACCCCTCTTATCTTCCCTTGACGCTGTCTCCCATTAAAAACCACTCTTACCTCTCGCGCCTCATAGCCAAGCTTGCAGGAAAAGTAGTCCATATCTGCTGTCTCCACTCTCCCCCTCTCATTAGTTGCTCCTGACTCACACTATTATTTTGTGGGAAGGTGTTTCATTTTGAAGATGTGATTTGAAGTGTCTGTGGGATATTTAAATCTGGAGGTTCATAGACTGTACAGGTGTGGAGATCTGAAGGCAGGTTTGGTCTGGAGATATAGATTTTTAAAATCTATCAGTGATTTAAAAAAATAATCATGCATATGGAAGAGAAAACTTCATAGAAAGGTGATAAGTTTCTTGAAAAACATTTACTGTTTCCCCAGTTCCTGCCCCAGAGACCATCTTGTATATCTTTCCAGACACAGCCAGCTTCATGGACATGGGACCTGTGCAGTCACATAGGGACCCGAGCTTAGAAGGAAACTGAGCTTGGTTAAATGCTCTGCTGTCACCATGTTGAAATTCTTCATTTTTGAATAAGGTCCTGACTCATTGGTCACATTTTCTTTTTTTTTCTTTTTGGTGAGGAAGATTGTCCCTGAGCTAACATCTATGCCAATTTTCCTGTATTTTATATGTGGGATACCGCCACAGCATGGCTTGAGGAGTGGTGTGTAGGTCTACACCTGGGATCTGAACCTGCAAACCCTGGGCCACTGAACCAGAGTGTGCAAACTTAACCACTATGTCACCAGGCCGGCCCCACCTCACATTTTCATTTTGCACTGGGCCCCACAAATTATGTAGTAGGTCTTGTTTCCAGCTATATTCCATGCAGAGTTAAACACATAATACATATAAACACGTGCCCCTCCTCCCACCCCCTTTTCTTTCAGCATTTGGTAATTCTTAAAACAATGTATGTAGATGAAATTTCCCAGGGAGAAGACGCAAAAGTCATAAGTGTTGTTCACCAAATATTTCTGCTGCTTCTGTTTCTGAGGACATGGGGGATACATGGTGGGATTGCATTTCATGGTTCCCTAGTGGTTGGATGGGGCCCAGTGACTAGTTTTGACCAATGAGTTAGGACCAATGAGTGCATCATTTCTAGGTCAGAGCACTTAGTCACTGCTGTGAGACCTTCCAGATTTCTCATTAAAGAGTTCAAGATGGTGGCTGTCCATTAGTCTTGGTCTCTGAATGACTACAATGAGCAGAGCCTTCTGAGTGTCTTATGATGGGCATTTAGTGTAGATGAGAAATAAATTGTCATTGTTTTAAGCCATACGATTTGGGGGTTATTTGTTATTGCAGCATAATCTGTCCTATCCTGACAGAAATACAAAAAATTCTGAGGCAGAATTCGCTGGGACTGACATTTAAGGGGAGAAGAGAGCCATAGAAAGAAAAGACAAAGATTCGTAGAGGTAAAAATGAGAAACCAGGAGAAGATGTGACCCACAGGAGTCATGGAAATCAAGGGAAGAAACTTCTCCAAGAAGTAGAGACTGGTCAATGGTGTTAAATGCGTCCAAGAGGTCAAGTAAAATAAGGAATAAAATACATCCGCTAAATCCAGCAACTGAGAATTCATTGGTAAGCTTGTTGAGGACAGTATCCGTGGAATGGCGGTAGTGGGGAAAGAGTGGACGGAGGGCCGAGGAGGTGGAGAGGGGAGAGCCTGAGGGATCAGTGTAAGAGTTTAGCACAAAGACTAGGAGGAAGTATATGTCTTTGAGTGGTGGCAAGGGGAATACTGAAGTGATCTGCCTATTCTGGACATTCCCTATAAATGGAATCATACAATGTGTGGCCTTTTGTGTCTGGCTTCTTTCACTTAGCATAATCTTTTCAAAGTTCATCTATGTTGTAGTAGGTATCAGTACTTCATTCCTTTTTATTGCTGAATAATATTCCAATGGATGGATATACTACATTTTGTTTATCCATTCATCTGTTGATGGACATTTGGGTTGTCTGCCTGTTCACTTCTACATCCACTAGTGACTGGTGCTTTTGGGAATGAATAGCTGTCCAAGGTCACAGAGGTGGTAAGATGGGACATCAGAAACCAGGCAATTTGTCCCTCAGCACCGATGTTCTAACCATGAGGCTTTACTGCCCTGTAGATCTCTTCTTTGATCCACATGAAGATTACTGTATCACTCAGAGTGCTGGTAGGAAAGCGATGGTGTACTCCAGTGGGGTAACTAACGAAGGAACCATTTACAAAGGTGCTGGCAGTGTTAAGAAAAAGTAATAAAAGGGGCCGGCCTGGTGGCGCAAGTGGTTAAGTGCGCACGCTCCGCTGCAGTGGGCCGGGGTTCACCAGCTCGGATCCCAGGCATGCACCGACGCACTGCTTGGCAAGCCATGCTCTGGCGGCATCCCATATAAAGCGGAGGAAGATGGGCATGGATGTTAGCCCAGGGCCAGTCTTCCTCAGCAAAAAGAGGAGGATTGGCAGATGTTAGTTCAGGGCTGATCTTCCTCACAAAAAAAAAAATAAAGAAAAAGAAAAAGTAATAAAGGATGATGAGCTGCCAGGACTGGCAACAGCAGGGGGCTCTTACCACCCCGAGGCCTGAAGGAGGGATTGGTGCTCAGAAGCCCTGCCATGTGCAACTGGGAGGAGAGGAGCCAGGAATATTCACATCCAACCTCACTGTCCTCCTGTTCTCCAGTCTCCTGAACTGGGAGCCAGAAGGTAAGGGAGCCCCTGACGCAGCTCACATGGGTGAGAATGTCAAATTTAGCTTAAACTGGAAAAGTAAAAAATGGAAAAGTAAAGAAATGGATAAAGTCCACCACAAAGAGAACAGGAAAAAATATTGCTCTGTAGCTGTAAAATGATAATACCCCCATTTTTTGTAAAATGATAATACCCCCCATCTTTTGAGTGAGAGACTGTTGCTTTCTTACTTACCGAGAAATGTTGTCCTCTAAAATCAAAGTCTATCAGAAACTTTGCTATTTGAAATTGCATCGGTAAGAATGAAATATTCCATTTTTGCCTGGAGGACCCAAGTCACCTTCACACAGAGAAGCGAGAAGCAGCTTCGATCTGCACCTAAGGTGCAGAGCTTCAGATAAAGGGATTCTGGACGCAATATTCAACATCTATTATAGTTTTATTGCTTCCAAGGAAACAAGGCCCTGGATCCTCTTTGCTATTCAGAGCTGAAGCTGACTGTTTTATACAAACGTGCTTTGCTTTGAACCTATCAAAACTGGGTTTCATTTAAATTTAATCTAAACTCCACCATCCCCCAGAATCCTCTGATAACTCTGTCCCTTTGTTTGATGATGCCCCACAGCTCCTCTGGCGCCCGTGCTCTCTCTCACTGAATGGGTCAATAAACCTAATCTTGTTGGACGGCAAGTTTGTTTCTGGCAGTCTTAGGCTGATTGGCCTAGGTCATGGGTGGTCCTCCTGGGACACAGAACAGGGCGGAGAGTGGACCTAGCAGGTCACGCAGGAAACATCTGGCATAGAAATAAAGTCCTCCTCTCCTCCCACCCCCCAGCAAATCTGATTCCCCCACCATCTACAGACCTGAGTGTTGTGAGGAAGTCGGGGGAGGGAGGAGAGAAAGAAACCTTCATTCACTCAGTGTTCATATACAGCTGGGTCTGAATAAAGGGTTGTAGAAATGAATCAATCAATCTCTTGAGTGGGGCTTGAGGCAATGGAAAAATCTAGGCCCTTTACTAAGGCACGAGGGAAGCACTGGGTCTCCTGACATTTGAAGGGCTGCCCCTTTCCCCCAACTGAAATGAGTCCAAAAAAGTGAAAGGAAAAAGGGGATAGGCAGAATTCTAAAAATGCCCTTCCTTTGAACACCATCTTTGTGCAGGCATCCGGGGGAGGCCAGCTGGGGCGGGGTCATCTGCCAGGCAGGACTGTAAGACTTGGCTTTTCTTGTTTATCTCCAGCCACATCTGGGGCAGTTGCCAGGGCCCGCCCCCACTCTGCTGTCATTGGAGGAGCTCAAACTTAAAAGGCTCCTGCTAAGAATCAAGTCGTTTCATTTCCTTCTTACTGGTGGTCCTGTTGTGGCCCTTGTGTGAGGGTTGAGCCCTGGTCCAGCCCCCAGTGAGCAGAGAGCGAGCATTTCACCATGGCAGCCTGCTGCAGCTGGAGTGATGTTTTCCAGTATGAAACAAACAAAGTCACCCGGATCCAGAGCATGAATTATGGCACCATTAAGTGGATCTGCCACCTGATCGTCTTTTCCTACGTTATGTAAGTGGGGTGTGGGGATGACCCCAAATCTCTGTAGTGTTTGACAGCACAGAAAATCCCAAGGTGCAGCTTCTGGTGCACATCTTGAATTTCCACGTGGTTTTAAAATCTGAGATGTGCATTTCACAGCAAGCTGGGGGTGAGCTGCGGGGGGAGGAAGCAGTAGGCGGGAGGAAGCAGTGCCAGTCTGCTGCAGAGAGAAGCCACGGGAGATGAGTGTGACACTTTGGGTTCTACTCCAGGCCTGCTGGGGCAAGCCAGGCAGGGCGTGTCTGGGGAAAGTGGGAAATGCAGGGCAACCCTGGATTCCCAGGAAGGAGGCGAGGATTCAGGGCACGCCCGGTGATAATGCTGGCATCTCTCTGAGTCATCACTGCTTAGGGGAAGGAATAGGACCAGACTTGTAAATGTAACTTTAGGTCCTCTTCAACGTCAAGAAGGCTCCCCTTGCTCTTTTTTTCCCCCAACAGCTTATTAAGATATAATCCACATACTATACCACTTACCCATTTAAACTGTACAATTTAGTGGTTTTTATTATATTCACAGAGTTGTGCAATCATCACCACAATTTTAGAACATTTTCATCACCTCAAAAAGAAACCCCACATCTCTTAGCCATCGTTCCCAATCCTCTTATTCCCCTGCAACTCCAGGTACCCACTGATCTCCTTTCTGTCTCTATGGATTTGCTTATTCTAGATATTTCATATAAATGGAATCATGCAATATGTGGTCCTTTGTGACTGGGTCCTTCCACTTAGCATCATGTTTTCAAGGTTTATCCATGTTGGAACATGTATCTCTACTTAATTCCTTTTTATGGCTGAGTAATATTCCATTGCATGGATATAACACTTTTGGGTGGACATTTGAGTTGTTTCCAACTTTCTGCTATTATGAATAATTGTGCTATGAACATTCATGTACACATTTTTGCATGAACATGTTTTCAGCTGTCTTGGGTATGTACCTACGAGTGGAATTGGTGGATCATTTGGTAACTCTATTTTCAACCCTTTGAGGAACCATCCAACTGTTTCTCACAGCAGCTGCACCATTTCATACTCCCACCAGCAATGTATGTTCCAATTTCTCCACATGCTCACCAACACTTGTGATTGTCTGTCTTTTGGATTATAAGCATCCTGTGAGTTGTGAAGTGGTATCCCATTGTGGTTTTGGTTCACATTTCCCTAGTGGCTAATGCCCCCTTGCTCTTTGTGATGATGGTGATGATGATAACTTGCATCTATGTAGAAAGACAGCATAGTTTACTAGCTAAGGGTTAGAGCAACCTATTCTATCATCCTGGCTAAGCTTCCTTGGCCAAGTCACTTAACCTCTCTGAGCCTCAGTTTCTGCATCTGTTCATAGAGTTGTTGTGTGATAATCAAACAAGAAAAGGCATGAAGAGCCCTTATCGATGCCTGGCATAGGGTAAGAGCTCCATAAATGGTAGCTATTTTTTAAAATAATCTTTTTTAATATAATAGGTACTTTTGTATACATCCTCTCTTTTGACCATCAGAGTAACCACACCCAAGCTTGTGATTTGAGATCTGCAAACATGGATTCAAAAATTCTTTACCTCTTTGAGCCTTGGTTTCCTCATCTATAAAATGATAAATATTTTTCTTTCATATGGTGAAGTCTTATCTTATTTTACATGCGTTCAATGCCCTCAAATTCAGTTACACATGTTCCACGGGAGCATGGAGCGAGAGCGCCATTTAAACAGTGCAATGATTCAGTGATTGGGCTCTGGAGTAAGTGTGAGATGGATGCTTTTGAGTTGGGATTCCCTCGGTCAGTCTCTGTTCTCACATGCTTCTCACCAAGTGAGCATCCTGCCGCCCTACCTATGAATCTAGATACAGATTTTCCACCCAACATATACCTTAAAATAAGCCAACTCCTTCACTTTCACCTGGAGCAAAACTGGAAAAACAGCAACTTGTTCCAGAGCTGGAGGAAAAATTGGGTCTGATGAAATCACTGAGAGGTGGAAGGTCTGTTTGCTATGCTTTGTGGAAAATTTAAGGGTTTACCAAAGGCAATTTTGACGAGACACAATTTTTACCTTAAGTGCTGACTTTAGAAGATAACCCCCATGTAAAATGCTTCTTCATTGTTTATATCTTAAAATATAAAATTGAAGAAAAAATATTGCTAACTTTGCTTTTTTCTTCTGTGTTAATGGAAAATCTATTTACATCTCACTGAATGGAGTCCCATGGAACACAGCTTGGGAAGTGCTGCCTTAAGTTGTACTGTGAGGTCTCATGTTGATGTAAGCGTAACTTGGCCACCTGTGAAATGGGTAGACCCACAATTAGCATCAAATAGGACTGGTATGGACCATAGGTGGAAGTCTAGACTAAGATAATATTCAGGATATACGGCAGCAGGTGATGGTTCTGGCCATGGGGTTCTGGGTTCAGATGTGTCCATTCTAGGGCTGAAAAGGCAGAGATCCAGGATCATCAAGTGAGATAGGGCCTCAGTTATTGAAACTGGGGTACAAGACAGGGACTGGCAATAGAGGAAGTAAGACAAGAGGCTGATTGGCTTCTCATAGTCCCTCACAACCAAGTTCAGATCTGGAGCTAAAGGCAGGGGAGGCAGCTACAGGTGGGGTCAAGTGGCTCCAGCTTCCAGGGTGGCGGAAGTGTATGGACAGGATGCTGAATAGTCTGTGTTAGTCAGAATTGTTTGGATAGTAAGTGACAGAAACCTAACTCAAGTTAGCCACCAAACCACACAGGGAATTCATTGCCAAGTAACTGGGCAGTGGAAGAGATCAGACATGGATGGTTATAAAAGTTCAAACTGTGTCATCAGGGCTGGGTCTCTTGGCTCTACTTGGCTTTCTTCTTGAATAGGCTCTCTACGTAGTGAGACAGCGCACTCATATCTTCCCCTTTTAGCAATCCCAGAGGAACAAACAAGTCTTTCCTGATAGCTCTGGCAGGAAAGTTCCAGGAAAGACTCTGATTGGTTGGGCTTGAGTTACGTATCCATCCCTGAGCCAATCACTGTGGCTAGGCGCTTGGTGTCACCTGCCTGGCCAGCCCTGGGTCATGTGCTCCCTCTTGTGGCAGGAAGTAGGGAGAGATCAGCAGAGCAGAATGAGCCCGACCTGAACCACATCCAGTATCTTTTCCTCAGGAAAGAAGAATTCAGTTGCCAGAGGAAATGGGAAAAGAAAGTGGGGAATGGGGTGAGAGAGACAGACAAAAACCAAGCATCCATTACAAGGTCTTTCCAAAAGCCAGAAATTCCAGGGACTTCTGAAGGCTACTGCTCTATCCCTGGCTTGTCTCAGCCCTGCACCTGGGCTGTGAAGACTCGGCCCCAGGTTATTGCCAAGGCTGGGCCCTTGGTATTCTCAACAGAAATTTCCTCTGAGAATCAGTTCCTGGAATTCCATAGAGTTTTCTAACCTATGATTCTGTTTTATCCTCTGGCCTCGATGAGTTGGGATAATGATGATTATACTCCCAGGAAAAATGAGATTCAAAAACCTGAATGACGGGCCGGCCCGGTGGCGCAAGAGGTTAGGTGCACGCGCTCCGCTGTGGCGGCCCGGGGTTCGCTGGTTCGGATCCCGGGCGCGCACCGACGCACTGCTTGGCAAGCCGTGCTGTGGCGGCGTCCCATATGAAGTGGAGGAAGATGGGCACAGATGTTAGCCCAGGGCCGTCTTCCTCAGCAAAAGAAGAGGAGGATTGGCAGATGTTAGCACAGGGCTGATCTCCTCCCCCCCAAAAAAAAAAAAACCTGAATGACAATAAAAATAACTTCCTTTTTTGTTGGCTTTATTTATATCATCTCATTTGATATGCTGGGACATAGGTATTCTTTTCATTATTTTACAGATAAGGAAACAGAAGCTATGAAAGATGGAGTTAAATTCTAAAAGATCATCCAGTTAGAAAGTGGGTTTTGAAAGGGATTCGAAGCCAAAGCCAATGCTCTTAACCCACAAATCACACTGCTGAATTGGTTACCTGTCAGACTGAGAAAGCCCAGACACTGGGTCTTCTCACTCCTTGGCCAATTGTTCTTCCTTCTTCACCATGATCTTCTTCGTCTTTCTGAGTTGGCCAGGGCAAGTGAAGAACAAGGAGGGAGGCTGGGATGAGCATCCCATGAGCTTGTCCTTCTCCATTACTCATTCATTCCCCAAATAAATTTTAGAGTATCTGCTATGAGTCAAGCACCGTTCAGTGGCGCCAGAGATTATAACAGTGAGTGAAACAAAGTTCCTGCAACTCATGGGGTTATATTCCAGTGGAGGAGGGAGACATGATACAAAAATGCAAAGAGACATCATAAAATGTCTGACGGTGATAAGTGCTATGAAGAATAAAGCAGGGTAGAGGAAAGAGAACGATGAGGGGCAGGTGTAAACATATGTGTGGTAGAGAAATTTGGGCTGAGAACTGTACTAAGAGAGGGAACAAGCTATGAAGTATCTGGGAGAAGAGGGAACAGCAAGTGTAAAGGCCCTGAAGTGGAGATTTGATAGGCTGTTCAAGGAAAAGCAAGGAAGTGAGTGTGGGTGGAGCAGAGTGAACAAGGTAGTGAAAGAGAGGTTGTAGGTGAGTTGGAGAAGTAACATAGGTGGGGGAGAGAGGGCAGACCATTCGGGTCCTTGAAGGCCACTCTGAGTTCTTTGGATTTTATTCTGAGTGAGTTGAGAAGCCATAGGAGGATTTTAAGCAGATAAGTAAAAGATATTTGCATTCTCTTGTGAAGATTTCCCTCTCCCTGGAGACTAGTCCTCTCAGAAGCTTTTCCAATGAATACGGAAGACTAGGGAAGGTTGAGAGAGAAACAGGAGAACAAACTCCACTCACAACTGCTTCTCCCTCACCTGGTCAACCTCCACTAGGCCAACAGCAAACTCAATATTGTCCTACACAGCCTCAGGCTGTCTGTCACCATGGCGACGGTGCTGTTATGCTAGTTTGTGGCCCTTAAAATGTAGATCC